ATTATTATTATTATTATTATGGAAAACGTCATATAGCGCTCCGAAGCTCGTTAAATACACAGCCAAGCCCACAATGATGGAGATAGGCGGTACAGATCGGAGGCCAGATTCACGAAGCAGTTTCGCAAGCACTTACGATCCTGTACGTCTTTTCTCAACCTCTGGCAGCTTTGTTTACAATTATTAAACAGTTAATGAGCTCCGAAGCACCAGGAGGCTGTTTATAACAATAACAACAGTTGATTGGCAAGTTTTCATGCTTGTAAAAAACTGTTTAATAAATGTAACCAAAGCCGTCAAAGATTGAGGAAAGATGTACACGGTCGTAAGTACTTGCGTAACTGCATCGTGAATGTGGCTCCTGGTACATGTCATGGCAGTACTTGATAGTTGCTCTCCTGGAGCCGCCACCAGGATCTTTATAGCAGGACACTGTGGCATGACGGGTAATTATCAGGGAGCAGTAAACAACTCTCTGAGGCCAGGCTGCGTCCACTCACCCTCGCGGGATGAAAGCCACGTCGCGCCAGAGTATAAAGCTTTAGGTTTGGGATAAAATCTGCAAAACGTTTCAAGTGACATTTTAGCTCTTCAAAGAGATATTGGATTAAAGTTTTCACCCGATGCAATTGGCGCTTTTATACTGTCAAAGGATTTTTCCCAATACTGCAAGTGCTATATGTGTTCAAATTCAAACTTCTTTTTTATTTAGCGTATTTTTTTGCGTTCTATGTAGAGATTAATCGCTCCAATATTTTTCTACCATTTGCTATGAGCGAGTTAAGGCTTAATAGTTATGTATGTTTCCATCAATAGAAAAAGTTTCGCTTTCGAATGTCACATTTATTTTTAAAACCATTTACTCTAGATGGGCGGATAAAGTTTTTCTAATACAAGTCGTAAATAAAGCTTTCAATTGTTATTGTATATAAAGCAATATATATTTCATCAAAGATGAGAACAGTCGTTAGAGGTGAGAGTTACTGCACTTGGTACATAGAGTTCCAGCCCATCACTCACACACCTTCCTCATCTCACTTCCTCTGTCTCGCGTCATTCCTTCTTCTATCTCCCTCTCTTCCTCCTCCTCTTACTCCTCTTCCCTCTGTCCCTTCGACACATACCTTTCCCTCAATTCTTCCTAACACTCATACTCTCCTAACACTCATCTTCTCATACTTTCCATGTTTCACTTACCTCTCTCCTGCTTACGTAAAAGATTTGACCAATTTTGATATTAAATATATATTATAGAATTCATTTATCGATAGACACTCACGCGCAGATCAGCAGACACAGAAAAAATGATTAAAGCTTATGAACAGACAATCAACTCCCTTAATTAATGTGAATTTTATGGGGGACAATAGTAAATCCTTAAAGCAGTAATATTCTTTTCACTGTCTTGCACACACATTCATATCTGATATACAAATACAAATAAAATTACTAATGAATAAGACGTGATCAGGTGGATAAAATTAAGATGTGGATAAGAGATAAGATGAACAGGTGGATCAATGAAACAAGACGATGGAACACGCAATGGTATACCCATTGTTTCATTGGTTAATGAACCTTGATGATATATATCATCAAGATGAAAAGATAACCTGTTCCTCTCAATCGTGTCCTGAATCACCCCACCCCAAGCGAATATAAGCATTAACAGAGTATGAAAAATTGTCTTTGAAAATGTAAGGAGTGCCTTGCGAAACGCTTCTAGGCATCAGACCATAAATATAGTGTGAAAATGAACTTTAGAGAGTTAATTTTTCAACTTCCCTCGACAGTGAAGAAAAACAAAAATATTGAGACGATTCGTGTTAGAATCATTACTCTTACCCTTACGGTCATATTCAACAACGTATTATTATATATATATATATATATATATATATATATATATATATATATATATATATATATATATATATATATATATATATATATATATAGCCTATTGGCTAAAGCCTATTGGTCCATATTTCTTGATGCATCAAGAAATATGGACCAATAGGCTTTCTACAAACACTTCTATTCAATACCCATTGTTTGTGTTCTGTCTTGTGTTGATACTTTTAATACCCTATTAATATCCCCTCTTGTTCTGTCTTGTGTTAATGCCACATCACCCCTCCCACCTCACTCAAATGTAGATATAAAATCGGAGATACGTAAGTTCTAATCAGCTGTGTATTTGTGAACTAAAGTCTTTGAAAATGTAATAAGTTTTACGAAACGCGCCCGTGTCGCGTCAGACTAGAAATAAAAATGAATTTGGAGAATTGATTTTTGATTTACCTCCAACAGTGAAGCGTAATGTACGAAAGATTGAGAAAATTCGTGTTAGAATTATTAATCTTACTTTTTCGGTCATATTTAATAATATATGTCTACAGGAAAGACTGCTACCAAAATATACTAATATATATATATATATACATATACATATATATATATATATATATATATATATATATATATATATATATATATATGTATATATACTAATATATATATATATATATATATATATATATATATATATATATATATATATATATATATATATATATATATATATTAGTATATTTTGGTAGCAGTCTTTCCTGTAGACATATATTATTAAATATGACCGAAAAAGTAAGATTAATAATTCTAACACGAATTTTCTCAATCTTTCGTACATTACGCTTCACTGTTGGAGGTAAATCAAAAATCACTTCTCCAAAATTCATTTTTATTTCTAGTCTGACGCGACACGGGCGCGTTTCGTAAAACTTATTACATTTTCAAAGACTTCACAAATACACAACTGATTAGAACGTATCTCTGATTTTATATCTACATTTGAGTGAGGTGGGAAGGGTGATGTGGCATTAACACAAGACAGAACAGGGGGGGATATTAATAGGGTATTAAAAGTATCAACACAAGACAGAACAGAAACAATGGGTATTGAATAGAAGTGTTTGTAGAAAGCCTATTGGTCCATATTTCTTGATGCTTCTATATTGGAGCGGAGTCTTGAGGTGGGTAGAATATAGTTGTGCAATAATTGGCTGTTGATTGCTGGTGTTGACTTCTTGATGTGTAGTGCCTCGCAAACGTCAAGCCGCCTGCTATCGCTGTATCTATCGATGATTTCTGTGTTGTTTACTAGGATTTCTCTGGCGATGGTTTGGTTATGGGAAGAGATTATATGTTCCTTAATGGAGCCCTGTTGCTTATGCATCGTTAAACGCCTAGAAAGAGATGTTGTTGTCTTGCCTATATACTGGGTTTTTTGGAGCTTACAGTCCCCAAGTGGGCATTTGAAGGCATAGACGACATTAGTCTCTTTTAAAGCGTTCTGTTTTGTGTCTGGAGAGTTTCTCATGAGTAGGCTGGCCGTTTTTCTGGTTTTATAGTAAATCGTCAGTTGTATCCTCTGATTTTTGTCTGTAGGGATAACGTTTCTATTAACAATATCTTTCAGGACCCTTTCCTCCGTTTTATGAGCTGTGGAAAAGAAGTTCCTGTAAAATAGTCTAATAGGGGGTATAGGTGTTGTGTTAGTTGTCTCTTCAGAGGTTGCATGGCTTTTCACTTTCCTTCTTATGATGTCTTCGATGAAACCATTGGAGAAGCCGTTATTGACTAGGACCTGCCTTACCCTACAGAGTTCTTCGTCGACTTGCTTCCATTCTGAGCTGTGGCTGAGAGCACGGTCGACGTTCTAATCAGTTGTGTATTTGTGAAGTCTTTGAAAATGTAATAAGTTTTACGAAACGCGCCCGTGTCGCGTCAGACTAGAAATAAAAATGAATTTTGGAGAAGTGATTTTTGATTTACCTCCAACAGTGAAGCGTAATGTACGAAAGATTGAGAAAATTCGTGTTAGAATTATTAATCTTACTTTTTCGGTCATATTTAATAATAATATATATATATATATATATATATATATATATATATATATATATATATATATATATATATATATATATATATATATATATATATATATATATATATATATATAGAGTGTGGGGAGGAAAGATGTTGTTTTAGATTTAGATGGTTACTGCAAGATTCAGGGACTCTTCTGAGAAGAGAATATTACAAGACAGTGTGGGTGATATATAGGCAGGAAGGATACATGTGAGGTGAAAAACAATGTCTGTAGTTCATGACCATTAGAAAAAGAAGAAGCTTCAACAGGACCATTAACCAGTACATGTGAGTTCCAGGTAGCAACAATACTAACGACATGCTCATGAGATAACAGGTTATTAATTATTTTACTTAAATCGTTTTTTAACTGATCGATAAAAATTTATCTAAATTGTAGAAACCATTACTAATGTAAATAGCGTATGGTTTTGTAATTTGAATAAAAGCAGATTCAATAATGCTTCTGTTGATAATATTTTTACAGTAAGTTATTGAAGACGATCTCTCCAGTCAATCTGGTGAGAATTTTCTAGCAAGTGAAAAAATTGATCATTAGGAAATTGGCCATTTTTATAGAATATTTATGCTGCGAAATTCGAAACTTCAAATCTTTGGATGTTAGACCTATAATAGGATTGTAAATAAGAAACAGCCCCACACACAACAGTAAACAGCCCACAGTCAAGCACATTCTCAAGTGCGATTACAAATTCTGGCACACACACACTCACAATATTTTCTTGGTATGATTAAGGAAGCATCCAGTGTTGACAACAACGCATAGATCAAGCACCATATCAGGAAATGATAACGTGTCAGTCAGGGAAATATCTCCTGAGTTATCAACCATTAATATTTCCTCAATTTGCGTTTCATCTCTGAAATATTACTCCCAATCTTTCACATGATGTATATACATTTGGATATCAGTAAAAAATGTGCAATTACATTGGTGTCAATATATTTTGCATTAAAATGTATATTTTCAATCACAAGTCACAATTCACAATACGTCTAGCGGGCTGAACAAGATCCAGTTATTTATACTAACAAGTGTAAACATGGAAGTGGAATCCGGACCATTTCCGGCTGGCTCAGAGAAGGTAAACATATCTGGGAATCCTTCACGATAGCTTAATGTGATTCGCGGGGGGGGGGGGGAGGAGAGAGAGCTAAAATGTGAATCCAAGACAGTTTTAAAAAAAAACTCTTCTTCGAGCATTCAGTCCTCTGAAATGGAGGATACGGGAGAGCGCCATTCCATTCTCCTTGAAGAGTTTATTTTATGTATATTAAATTCTCACATATATAGGAAACGTCTTATAACTTCTCTCTTCCTGATTGTGTTCGAAGGGACTAGGAGACGTGTTTCATATAGTTCAAGTCAGTCTGCCGGTTTCTGTGAATTTCTGTGTTTAATTGTGTGTGTATATACGCCAATGACCGCAGTAGAATATGGCCAGTAGAAGGGAATTCCTCTTCCTAATCCCTCATAGCAAGACTAGTATATCCTTCACGAGTTGTTGACGGAGAAAATGGGAAATGCTAAACGCTGAAGGGAGACTCAATGAGGTCTTCCCCGCTCTTGTAGTGTTAGACGGAGAAAACCTCTATAAAGCACAAGGGGGTACCAATATAACCTTAGTATACTGTTACATACACGCTTCACTTTACACGTCACTTATTTATAAATAGGGAAGGGAGCACCACCTCTGGCTGGAAGAAGGGGGACCCTCAGCCTCGGAGGAAACCACACATAACGCATTAGAGGGAATGTTCAGGTCCCCTCCAATACAGTTTCTGTGAGCTTTGTGCTTTTCTCCTACCACCCCCCTTTTGTTTATTTTTTGTGCTTTATTATGTATTTACATCACGTCACTTATTTTGTATTTCTTTTTCACAAGAGTTAGTGTACAGATATTGTTAGCATACCTGAGTAATATAAAACAGAAACGTCACGCTGTGGTCGCTTGTATGGCAACATCACCAGTCACTATTGCCTTGCTGGAAACAGAATATATCGGTATCCAAACTCGGACCCTCTTCAGCAGAATTAGTGAGACACAGGAGCAACTTATATGCTGGTGAAGGAACCAGTCACGTGTTCTATCCAGGTCAGAAGCCCGTGGCCCGCCTCAATGTATAGTCACTGACAAGGTCAGCTAGCCTGTGGTGTAGATAAAATTAAAAGTATTATATATATATATATATATATATATATATATATATATATATATATATATATATATATATATATATATATATATATATATATATATCATTTTCTTTTGAAGCTACATTTGTGTGGATACACAATACTTGAGTTTATCAAGCTTATTGAATAATCTTGTTAATTCACAAGTTAGAGGCAACTGATGATTTGTCTGAAAAATGCATCCCTCGTCGTTATCGTGATGCAGTTGGTATCCTGAGTAAAAATGACAACATAATTACAACCAGTTCTGATGGAGTGGGTAAGTGGAGTTTACCATGTCAGAAAATATTTATATTACGCAAGCTATTCACGCGTAGTTTATCGTGAGACTGACCTAATCTAAAGTTATGCTGGCAGTTGATGCTTCAGCTATGTTTAGCTTCCTATTGTCGCTGTATCTCTCCATTATTTCTGTGTTGCCGGTCATGATATCTCAGTGATAGTCCGAGTGTGTTTAGAAATGACGTGAACTTTAATGAAAGCCTTATTGTTGGCACACTGTCACGCCGGTTGAAGGAGATGGGTTGTCTTGCCTATATATTGAGAGCGTTGGATTTGACAGTGGGCACGAGAAGGCATAGACAATATATTCGTCTCATTCGAAGTGGTTTTCTTACTATTGTAGTAGATGGTGAGCTATATCTCCTGTTCCATTTTGTCTTTCTAAACCCTTTTCGTCGAAAGAAACGCGACCCCACCCAGTATTGATCATAGCGACCCCACCCAATATTGATCAGGGCGACCCCATCCAATATTAATCAGAGCGACCCCACCCAATATTGATCATAGGGACCCCACCCAATATTGATCAGAGCGACCCCATCCAATATTGATCATAGCGACCCCACCCAGTATTGATCAGAGCGACCCCAGTCAATATTGATCAGAGCGACCCCTCCCAATATTGATCAGGGCGACCCCACCCAATATTGATCAGAGCGACCCCACCCAATATTGATCATAGCGACCCCACCCAATATTGATCATAGCGACCCCACCCAATATTGATCAGAGCGACCCCACCCAATATTGATCAGAGCGACCCCACCCAATATTGATCATAGCGACCCCACCCAATATTGATCAGAGCGACCCCACCCAATATTGATCAGAGCGACCCCACCCAATATTGATCATATTGATCAGAGCGACCCCACCCAATATTGATCAGAGCGACCCCACCCAATATTGATCAGAGCGACCCCACCCAATATTGATCAGAGCGACCCCACCCAATATTGATCAGAGCGACCCCACCCAATATTGATCAGAGCGACCCCACCCAATATTGATCAAAGCGACCCCAGCCAGTATTGATCAGAGGGTACAGCTACGCGTTCATGCGTGTACGCAGGAAATCAATTGTAGTGTCACCAACAAGTCTATCGGTACTTACGAACCAGTCAGCAGAATCCATCTTTATGAGATGGTTTTCTTATCTTACATATGGACCTTAGTATTATTAGTTGGGTCATTATTGGATGTTCATCCATTGCTGGATGAAATCCCGACACCATTTACTAATATTAAATACAATATGCAGATAATATTGCTGCTATTGTGTATATAACAAGTTAACCCATAGAAAATGTAGCCAATAGTGGAATTTTCCCTCAATAAAAAACGGGACATCATTGCCACGTCGCTATTAAATTCACCTGCTATTCTGCTTGGATTTATTCTTAATACAGCAGTCTTTGGGCTGTAATCATCATAAAAACATCTCACTTGAATCAACTTAATTATTAGTACCAAAATAGAGTAAATGGAGGCACTTTCTAACAACTTCTTGGCGCATCTGGAGAACAAGGGATGCGTCAGTGGGAGGGCGGCCTCAGCCATTGTTGTTAGACCAGGTCGCAGGAGAAGAACAGCTCCTAATACTCCCATGGACGAAGTGTTATGGAGACTAAATTAGTGCTTCTTCCATCATCAACACGCAGTCATCATCTAAACATGGGAAATGTCCTTCCGAAATCATATCTAGTCATTCCTGGCCAGTAACTTTAGGTAGAAAAGATTATTTTCCGGTTAGAACACGCGGCAACGACCAACCCAGAATGAGTAATATTATCATTTCTTTATGAATATACCAATATTTCCTCTGATATAGCTGTCATATTATATATATATATATATATATATATATATATATATATATATATATATATATATATATATATATATATATATATATATATATGCGGAAAATCCACAGAGAAATATGAAATGAGGTGAACGTTTCGGCTTGTTAAAGCCTTTGTCAACACCAAACTTCGTTAGTCTGGTGTTGACAAAGGCTTTACCAAGCCGAAACGTTCACCTCATTTCATATTTCTCTGTGGATTTTCCGCATAAAATGATCAGTGTTTTGTGATCGTCAATTGCATATATATATATATATATATATATATATATATATATATATATATATATATATATATATATATATATATATATATATATATATATATATATACATATAATCCTCAAGCACGAGGATTATTTGGTGTGATCATCCTTGTTTATACCTGGTGGACCAGGCCTACCATACAATAAGATAAGGCCTTCCAATTTTAATTACTAATATATGTAGTTTAATATTATAGTGAATGTCTGCTAATCAGAAATTTCATGGACTACATATATAAATCCATAAACCCCTCATAGTGTGTAAGGAGATCGATTTGTGAGAATTTGCAGAAATACTGTCCACTTAAACCATCATACAATTTGCTATCAAAATATATAAATTAACGTAAATATAAATTCTATATAAATTCAAATAAATATAAATCTCACAGGTCAGTCCCCCACACTAGATGTAACGTCCTGCGGACCGCTGGGACGTAACTGGTGTTCCCTTTCTGTGTTCGCCTCGTTAAACATGCATCCGTCAACACATGACAAATAAAAAAAAAATGAAAGAATTCCTGACAGCATAAAAAATGAAATATCATCCAGAAGATTTTAAGCAGAACTACCCGTGAGGCAGAGCACGTCTATCAACGCTGTATATGACTGCATAATGTCTCTCTCTCTAGGTTTAAAAACGAAACTAAATGCGCAGAAACGCGTATGGACGCGCTTTTTTGCGCACACGCGGAATATAGCCCATTAAAAAAAATCAGTTACCTTTCACGAGTGTGTCGGGAGACATGAAAAGAAGACAAAATCCCAAACCAATTTCTTGGGCGTGTTATTGGGCCTGCGCACTACCTTCTTCACAGCACCTTGGCAAATACCAGCTTTAGTTCTACTTTTGCATGCCTGGCAAGCTGTAAATAGTATGTTGTTGCGATCCACTAGCGCGCTGCAGTGTAAATACTGAGAGATGACTCGACTGTCAAGGTTAAAGACAGGGTCAACGACCTTACCCTGCCTTATACGACTTTTCAAGACGCTAATTACCAGATAAGTTTTTTAAACGAAACCAGATTCGTTCGGTCAAGAGTTGAGCGATTATTATATATATATATATATATATATATATAATGTTGTACCTAATAGGACAAGTTGCCTAACTATACGAATTTTCCTACAATGTTATATTTTTACAGTTTTTTAATAGAACGATGAAGCTTTCCATTACAATATATATAACTGAAACTTTTTTAAGTCAAAACAAACATAGAAATTTGATAAAACCTAAACTAACATAACTAAGTCAGTAATTTACGTTCTTAATATAATATAATAATATTAATTGGAATAAACCAATTTGGAAAAAATATTTTAAAATAACGAAAATCACTGTTAGGCAAATAAGGCCTTACATGCTAGACTAAATAGAGCTACCCTGAGGTGATTTCGGGGCTTAGCGACCTCGCGGCCCGGTCGTCGACCAGGCCTCCTCGTTGCTGGACTGGTCAACCAGGCTGTTGGACGCGGCTGCTCGCGCTAAGCCAACGAAGTGTGTAATAAGAACAAGTACAACTACTGGCAATCGGTTTCCTACCCTTGATCTATGTAGTATGTTGTCCAGACCACACACTAGTAGGTGAAGGGACGATGCCGTTTCGGTCCGTCCTGGACCATTCTCAAGTCGATTGCCTTGACTTGACTTGATCAATCGACTTAAGAATGACTTGATCAATCGATGTGGACCACAATCGACTTGAGAATGATCCTGGACGGACCGAAACGTCGTCGTCCCTTCACCTTCTAGTGTGTGGTCTGGTCAACATACTTTAGCCACGTTATTGTGACTCATCGCCTGCATCTATGTAGTATATTAAGCAGACGATGAGTCACAATAACGTGGCTAAAGATGTGATGACTTAACCACACACCAGAAGATGGGAAAACAACGACCAATTATATATAAAAGAATGTGAATATTAGTATTAATTAGGTGGATGGCATCTATTCTTGACTCTGGTGCTCTCTTAAGAGTGGAATATTGTTGCACAATAACAGCTACATTCAAAGCTGGAGAAATGGCTGACCTACAGAACGTGCAAAGATATTTTGTTAATGCCGAATCCACTCAATTAAAGAACTATATTATTGGGACCACTACAAATTTGTATATCTGTATTCCCTAGACCGCAGGCGGGAGAGATACATAAAAGTGTACACTTGAAACATATTAAAGGGCCTGGTTCCAAATCTATACACGTAAATAACAGCACACGAGACCATGAGGCATGGCAGGTAGAGCAAAATAACCCCGATGAAAAGCAGAGATGCAGTAGACACGTTGGCAGAATTCTATCGCCATCAAGAGGCCTAAGAGTTTTCAATATTTTTAACTAGCAGAACTCTCATGGTGTTCAAGAGAACTTGATAAACGCCTCCGATAGATACCTGATCAACCGGGCTGCGATTCATACATCAGGCTGAGAGCAGCTATGTCTAACAGCCTTATTGACCAGACTACCAGCCAGGAAGCCTGGTCAGTAACTGGGCCGCGGGTACGTTGCTCCTCGGAACCAACGCAAGGTAACCGCAAGGGACCACCGGCTGCATGCACAAAGCACCACCCCCAGCAAGTCATGGTCATGTCTTGCGTCATTCACACACGCTGACTTGCACCTGCCTTGCTTGGGGCTTACCACTCTTACGCGGCTACATGTCTAGTTATCCATTTTCTTGATGCTTAATGCTAAGAAATAATTTAACCACGAAACCAGCGTTTCCTGTGAAACAGCAATGAACCCTCAAACCTCTACACAATGTATATCAATATTAAATGTTGAGGCAGACGATATCTGCATAAAATGTATCCCTCTGAGAAAGGTCAGAAACATGTCCGCT